ATTATTGCAATGCAAGGTGACTTATTTTTTTGCATATGAAACTAAACTAAAATAAATTTGCTAACTTTTAAATTTATAAAGGTACTTATGTGTTATCCCATCGAACGATTGATAGCATGACTTATTGATAGCGATAAGATATTAGGACAGATGTTATTGCATCTGTCCTAATATCTTATCGCTATCAATAACTAGCACTGTGCTCTGCTTGATGACAGTTTCACGTTCGATGGGATAACACATAAGTACCTTTATAAATTTAAAAGTTAGCGAATTTATTTTAGTTTAGTTTCATATGCAAAAAAAATAAGTCACCTTGCATTGCAATAATACATACGGTATTTTCAATACCAAAAATTGTATTTGAAAGATAAAAACATTGACTCAGTATTTTGATAACTATGCATATGTTACAGTATAATTTACAATTATACTGTGGCCCCTTAACTTATCAAATACAACATGATTGAATATGGAAATCTAAATTCTTACTTACATTTACATATTTTGGATTAAAAAAAAATTCCATGAGAAGTAATAAAATATATTCATATATAGTTCAATAAAGGATATGAAACAACACAGATGATTAATACTGGTCTGGATTCTGGAAAAGGATGAAGGTAGTCCCACATAAGGGCAAACATTGCAGCACCAACTGCAATACCCGATATGGCTAGACGACCATCCATTAGGCGATGGCTTTCTACATACTTAAATTGTTCAGTAAATACCTATATAAAGTCAGAAATATAAGACAAGGTTCAAAATACATAATACTGTTTTTATAAAAATATTTTTGAAATTGATAAACTGATGTTAAGTACCTTTTTGACTGCATCATCAAGAGCATTTTTTACAGCAGAACCATCCCATTTGTCTACTTTAATTGGTTTTTCATCTAAAATCTAAATATATGTTAAATAAGTATTTGATATTTTAAGTAACATAATGAATAATGGAACAGCTAATAAAAATTCCATTGTACTTATTTTTACTTGCTTTGAGGATAAATACAGCACATTTTAAGTTATGAAAATGTTACACTAACATATATTCTAAATGCATGAGAAATTCTGAATATATGAAGTCTGAATACATAAGAAAAGTTTTCATTTATCAAAGTATTTTTAAATACAATGAAAATAAAATTAACAGTTAATGCTGCACACATATACTTAGTAATGTAACCATTAACTAATGCAAAACAAAAATTAAAATACCAACTGATTAAGCATTGGTTGAATTTTCAAAAAAAATTCTATGAATGTCTACAACAGCTTAAGACTAGTCAGATCAAATAAAATTAATAAGAAAATTTAGGCTGAAAATCACAAAGGTTGGAAAAAATCATAAAAAATATCAAATTTAAATTTCATTTATTGGTTCTACACTATTTATTTATTCTACAACTAGTGCGGAAACATCCGCACTAGTGTAGAATTGGGTGCCCCTTTAATTAGCGACAATTTTTTTTTTTTTTTTGCATGAAACCTCATTTCTGGTTACCAGAATAGTTGTAGCTTCCTGATTTTTTTTAAATGAAAATAGATTGATGTGTACATGAATAAATTCAAGGCAGTTGCAATGCCTAGTTTGCGCAATTCTGGGACTTTAAGTGCAAACAGATCGACGTGTACATGGACACAGAGTTTGTGCAATTCTTCGACTTCTTATTTTGGTTTAGTGTAGCATCATCTTGAAATTGTGCCTTCCTGGCACCGATCTTGACGTCAAAAAAAGAATCGCCAATAAACAGGAGGCATTATAAACTTTTACCGGAAAGTTTACAATCTTTCTTAGCAAAAGCTAAAAATTATAAATCCAGAGAATCGGTGGTCTGCTTGGAGATCAGCAGATGTGCTGAAAAACAGTGAAATAGCAGCTAAGAAACACATATCACATGGCTTAGACATCTCAGTAGTCACTAGAAGTTAATCTGATGAGCACGTTCAGATTCACTTAAGAAATAAGGCATACCTCTCTAACTTCTTCTAATATCCTTCAATAAGTTACAAAGTTTCCATGATCTTTGCTTCACACTACTATGCCTTTAAAATATCTCACTGGCCTAAATTATAAGGATACACATAAAGATGATCATGAATTTTTAGAAGTGAATCACCATGACTGGTATAGTGATTAGGTGCATATCGGTTGTACAGCATGAGATCACTCAAAATACTGGTGAGGTGAAAATACTCTGAAGAGGTTTGGTGATAGAGATAGAGAAGTAAAAGAATCTCAGATCCATCCCCGAAGGTGTTGATCAAAACTGGGACAGAACTTTCCCAGGCTAATCTTTGGAATATGGTAACAGGTAGTTTGACGACATTTTGGTAAGGTGATCAAGGTTACTAGCTAGGACTTTAGCAGTGTACATGGATAAAGTCAAGAGTGTGTGCAATGCCATTTTTGTGCAATTCTGGGATGTTTTTTTAAGTGAAAATAGGTTGACGTGTACATGGATGATACTGTGTATGTGCAAGTCTTAAAAACGCGGCAAGCAGTGGGTGATTTTGCACTTTCTCCCAATTTCGCACCTAATCTTTGTCATGATTATGCACTTTTGTTCCATAAAAGTTCTAGCATAAGAGTAATTCGGCTGGCAGATTGCTAGAAAAAAATTTTGAGTAAAAAAAAAAAAAAAAAAAAAAGCCTTTACTTAGTGAAAACAAAATGGCGTCCAAAAAAAAACTAGCAGGTTGCTGTAGCAGGGTTGGTCGCCAAAGTTTCGCCAAATAACCATAATCCAAAGATTAACCCTTTTTCATTCTCAATGTGCCAAATCAGTTACCTCCTGTGATACACCTTGGGCAACATTTCTGGCAATAAGATGGCTAAAAATGACCAATAATTATAGACTACTGTTGATGAATGTATTAATTTTAACTGTCTCGTCATTTTAAATAACAATTTTTACAGCGATATGAGAAGGAAGATAAACTCAATTTTACATCATACTTAGAAAAAAACCTAGAATTAGTCATGTAAGATTATCAAAAGTTGCTCTAATAAAGCATCTATGTTTACAACATACCAAATATTCAGTCTTATATTTGTATTATTTCATTCCATCCATAATCAAACCTGCATTTTAGAAAAAACACTGAAAAGGCGGCTGATCTTTAGAATATGGTAACTGGTAGTTTGGCGACATTTTGGAGGCGATACCTGGGACTTTGGTAATAATGTGAGCAATACTCAGTTCCAATTACGCATTATTTTGTGTGGGATATGTCATGTGATATTAATGGACGAATTACGGTTCTTTAATCGGAAAAGGGGGGAATTTGGAAAAATATCTGTGGCTGTGGCTTGTATATTATTTGTATTAGGCTTCATTGTGTGCTGTGTGAAGTAGGGTTGATAATTTTTGGGATTGTATGGCACTGGTCTAAAGGAAATTCTAGATGTGATAAAGAGAATTTTGCTTTTTAATTTAGCGGAGGAAGTGTGGAGGAAAAATTCGCAGAAAAAAAACCGTTCAATAATTTTATTGAATCCATAATAAAAAGTGTATCCACCATGTAAGCAAGATTCTAAAGAAGATTAGGTAAGTTAGTATTTTAATTTTTGAGGATAATTTTTATGCATTGTTCTAAATGTAAGGTGGAAGTAAAGTATTTGGTATTACTGGGAAAATTGTTATTAGCAATGATTTAGTTTAAGTAATTAGGATTGTAAGCTAATTATTATTAATTTAATGTATGTGCTTATTTATATTTTAAGTAGTGTTTTTGATTTCATTATATTTTAATTAAATTTAGTTATTTTGTGAATTTTATGTTTGTAGGAATTTGGTATAAGTTTTAGTTGAAGTAAACGTGCATGGAAATAATTTACATATTTGATAGTATTTGAATGTTTGTGGTATGAATTCGTTGGTGACGTTTATAAATAAAGATAATTTAGAGGTAAAAGTTTTTGGATATTTATTTATTTTATACGTGGAAATGTTCATATTTGGAAAGGGTATATACTTTTTCGTTATTAGGTAATTCCATATATGTTCTTTTTAACGGGTTTAAAGATTCAGAAAATTGTCAGGCATTTTCGTGAAATTTTTCTAATTTATGAAGAAAAAGCAGTGTACATGGATATGGTGGAAGAGTGTGCGCCAATGCCATTTTGTGCAATTCTGCGATTTTTTTTTAAGTAAAAATAGTCGACGTGTACATGGTTTAGTGATATTTTAATTAAATGATAGTTATTTTGTGAATTTTATGTTGTAGGAATTTGGTACGTTTTAGTTGAAAGTAAAACGTGCATGGAAATAATTTAATAGTTGACACTAAGTTTTGTAATGCTTGCGGTATGAATTCTTGTGATGTTTAATATAATAGATGATTTAGAGGTAAAAGTTTTTGGATATTTTATTTATTTATATGTGGAAGTGTTCCTATTTGGAAAGGGTATATTACTTTTTCGCGATCAGGTAATTTCATATGTTCTTTTACAGGGTTAAAAGATCAGAAAATTGTCATGTATTTTCTAATTTATGAGAAATTTAGAATGGGAAATTTTCTAATTTATGAGAAAAAAAGCAGTGTACATGGATATAGTGAAGAGGTGCGCAATGCCATTTTGGTGTAATTCTGGGATTTTTTTAAGTAAAAATAAGTCGACGTGTACATGGTTTATATGTATGTGTTATTTTGAAAAACGTGGCAAGAAGTTTGCGATTCTGAACTTTTTCCCAATCTTGCAGTTGAATAGTTGTCATGATTAAGCAGTTTTGTTCCAGAAAATTTCTAGCATAAGTGTAATTCGGCTAGTAGATTGTTGAAGAAGTGTTCAGTAGATAAAAAGAAAAGAAACATGTCTTTACTTTCGTGAAGACAAAATGGCGGCGGGGAAAAAAAAATAGAGGGTTGGTCGCCAAAAAATCGCCAAGTTACCATAATCTAAAGATCAACCGAAAAGGCTTTTGGAGTACTTCAAATTTATTTCATGATTAAAAAATACTACAATGTAAAAAAAAAAAAATATATATATATATATATACAGGTCTTTTGTTAGCTTCTGTACCCCATAGAAATATTTTGTGTGTGTGTGCTTGACAATCTGTATATAATTAGTTCATAATTAAAAAAAAAAAAAAAAAAAATTCTCCTCAAATATCTATTTGATTCAGGAACCATATAAATACACGTATTTAAGATGGCTATCACATGAAACATTTCAAAGCTTTCTAAAAATAAACTTCTTCCTTCAAAATTTACACTATTATTTAAAGTATTTTTCCAGCAATTTATACAAGAAAATTAAACGATTAGAATGTTTTCTTTAACCTAATTACAAAGTCACGAGCACCTGCTGTAATCACATATCAAAATTTAATAGCTATGGTAAATAAGGAAACGTATGGATAAAGCTACATATTGCTACAGTTTTTTTCTATACTTGTTTTATCTATATTATAAATCTTCACTGCTGAATGAATTATATAACTGAAACTGGAATAAATGAAATATTTTAAGTCAATTAAATAAAATGCAGAATTTCAAATCAAAACTAAATTTTAGTAAACCAAAAACTTTAAACAAGTGTTTTCCTGTCTTTGAAAAAACAATGTAAAAAGCAAACGAAAGTTAGTGCAGTAAAATATTGCGCAGCAGTCACATTTAATGGAAGAAAATTTCATTTATAGTACCGTAAAATCAGAAAAACAGGCCTCACCTTGGATGAGTTCCCGTCAACGTCAGCCTTCTTGTGCGCCATATTTTAGCCGTCTGATATGAAATCGAAATATAAGATGATGCGGCTTAAGACTTAATTGAAGTCATAGTATTTTATACACTCTGTGAACAGGGTTATAAACAACTAAACATCCCAGTTCATTTAAATTCTTAAATAATAAGTATTTAACTATGTTTGTTTTTTTTCTTACCATTTAAAACATACGTTCTTAAAATGATGGTTTTAGTATCTAATGCATAATCTAAAACATACTGTGGTTAATAACATTCAAAATATTTTGGTAATTTTTTCCTGTAGAGTTTTTCATAGTATAGTTATATCGGAATAATTTATGTTGCTTATTTTAAAAATGCGTTACACTTTTAAAAATGCATGTTCTGTTTCTTCAACTCAACTTTGCGTTGTCATAGCAACGGATATTCTATCAAACAATTGTTCCGGTGGTTTATTTTTTGCAATATTTTATATGTAATTATATTTTTATTAATGGGATTTATACTATTTATGGGTATATTAAATTTGTATTATATATTAAGTCGAATATAAAAAATTTATAATTGATGGAATTTTTGAAATTTATGTTAAGTTAATATTAGATATTTGTATTCTTATTTAAAGGATGAGCGTTACACATAATTTTACGAATTATTATCTCAGTTCGTTCTTTACGTTGAATCTTCTTAAGCATGTTATGCATATATTATGGTAACTTAGATTGAAAAATGGAGCTGATAAAAAGTAATATAAATTAACATTTGATTGAAATCAGAGGCTTTCCCCCACATCTGATTTATGAGAGACATATAATGAAGCAATTAAATTCATAACTAGTACTAAATGTGAATTTCTATCCGAGTTTAACCCTTATTCTTCATCTTCTGTACTGAATTTGGTTCTTTATTTGTTCACTTTAGAAGGTCAAGGTTAATATATTATGTGGTTAAATCTCTGTAAATTGTACGTTTCCATACAAATCATAGTAAATTCGGCTAAAGTGCAGAATCGCCCACTTTTTTGTTTGGTGTTTGGTGCTTTTTACAAGAGTAAGAAGAATTGGATTTTTGTCAATTTTCTTTGACTTTTTAAGTGAAAATAGGTTGATGTGTACATGGATAAAGTCAAGGAAGTGCACAATGCCATTTTTGTGCAATTCTGGGGTGTTTTTTTAGGTGAAAATAGGTCGACGTGTACATGGATACTGTGCAATTCTTAAAAACGCACCCAGCAGTGGGCGATTCTGCACTTTCCCGTAAATTCAAAATTAATTTGAGACTTTGTTAACACTGATGTTTTGTTTCCTGTTATTAATGAAAGTTTGGTTAATATTCCATAATCGGGGTGAGTGCCAAACTTGGTGAGAGTTTTTTATTTGGCACGATTTTGATTTGGTTGTGGATTCCGGCTATATGTTTTCTTGTGGCAAACATAGAGCTTTATTTCGGTAATTGTATGAGTGCAAATTTAGTGAAGCCAGAAGATTTTTTTTAAATTTAATATTGAAATATAGTGTTTGTTTTTAAAAGTTTTACTGTAATATATATATATATATATTAAACATATATATATATATATATTAATTTTTTTAAACGTGTTGAACTCTTTGGTGGAACTCCTGGTAACTTTTAGGCGAGCTTACTACAATTTCTAATTTACTTATTTTGCAGCATATTGCGCAAAATGTTATATAGACCAAATTGGTCATTCAGTATTGTAATAACTACCTTGCTTGATATATTAAACATATATATATATATATGTTTAATATTTAACAAACATTCTTTATTCGTAAAAAGCAAATTTAAAAATAATTAAAAATTAAAATTATGAAAGTCTAATTGTAAACAGATAAATGATTAATTATTGCTGCAAACTAATCTAGAATATCATTTAAATTCTGAGAGCATATGTAAATGAGTGCAGGTATCAAAATCCATGAATAAATATAATATTCCAACAAAAATTTTTAATCCTAAAAAATTCAAAAATGCATAAGTGAATAATTTTTGGGAAAGCAGGAGACAGATTTATCATCACAGCAATAATTAATCATTTATATTGTTTACAATTAAAATTTCATAATTTTAATTATCTTTAAATTTGTTTTTTACAAATAAAGAATGTTTGTTAAATTCAAATTTCATTCCTTGCAGCTATGGTGCAAGAGAATTATTTAAGTTTAATTTAACTTTACTATTTATTCTTTGAAAGACATATATGTTTAATTTTATATTTATATAAATATTTGCAGAAGGTTAAGCTGTGTTAGTGAGACAATATTGGATTTCTGATGACGGGAAGTTTATCAATGTTTTCATTTAATTTTATTTAGGTAATTATTTTTTTTAGTTATGTTTCTTGCTTGTGGCAATAAGATGTGGACTTATTCAGAGTTTAGTAGTAAACGACAGAACTTTGTTTAGTATACTTAGAAAGCTGATGCACACGTTGTTTTATCATTTAATCAATTGCATTTACTATTCTGTTTGCACATAATAATTGCTGTTCACCACTGTAAATAAAAATTTGCTATTCTGTTTACATTTTAAACTCACTTCATAGTGCTCTAATCTGATAAGTGTATATATTTATTTACTCAATAATTATTTATAAGAATTGTTTAATCTACTATTTTGTGATGAATTATATAGATAGGATTATATTTTTACTTGCAAAGCTGTTGGACTTTGTTTTACTCATCTAGTATTTTATCATCTCATTTTATTATTCTGTTTACATAAAATAATAGCCTTTCACTACTGCAAAACTTAAAAGTTACTATTTTGTTTATGTTTAAAAATCACATATTAGTGCTTTCATTGCCGCCAAAAAAATTTGCCAAATTTTGAAGGCCAAAATAGTTTGGTGCCAACTCCCCCTGCTTATGGAATATTAGCCGAAAGATTTAATATCAAAATTTATGTGTCTACAAATAAACTTTTTATTTCTGCTGATAAGGATAATTTGAAACTTCTCTGTGGAATGTTGTAAGTTTGAAAAATATCATAAAAATCTTCTACCACTACTCTACATATTATGTTAATGAATAAAAGTCCATTTATTATCCAAAGTAAGTTCAAACTATTTTCCTTAGCTTGAATAAAGAATACAGTTTTGAATGGAAATGTATTCTTTTCTTAAATTTCCTAAATGGCAAAAGAGATATATTTCTTTGGATACATTTTAATTATCCCTTTCTAGAATCATAATTTCATACATGAGAAAAATTTTATAAATTACAAAATGTACATGGTCTTAGATTTTTGTAAATTGAAAGCATAATTGTTCCCATATTTGAGTCCAATATATTTTGAAATTTTAAATAACTGATTAGTTTATAATTAGGCAATAAACTTTACTTAGTATGATGTTAGAAGATAAAAAGCATTAGTCTTAAAATTTAAGCTTGAATAATATGATGTAGTATTTATTTTATATTAGAGATGGAATTATATGGTTAGCATATATTTTAGGGGGCCCCTTCAATTGTCGTCAAGCTGTTTTTTCATTTATCGCCAAGTTATTGTTTCATTTATGGTAACCTGAGTTGTTTAATGTTATGGAAAGCCTATTATTGATTGGTTGCATGACTGCAGTGAACTTGACTGAGGGGAAATTTTTTTTTAAATCTTATTTCTGTGGTGCGTGTTGTATGCTTTGCATCATAAAATGGCTGCCAGTGATAAACTGGGTGTTTGGTAGTACAGAACGAGAGAGCAGAAGTTTTTTTTTTTTTTTTTTTTTAAGTGGTTGAGGACAGAAGAAAAGAAACTTTTGTTGGATGTAATTCAAGGGAATTATAAGTGTCTTGTTTGTATGAAGGAAATGCGTATAGTTGAATGTAAAGATCATTCAGATGGCTTTGAATGGGTTTGTCACAAGAAGGATTCAAATGCTTACCATATAAAGCTTTCCGTTAGAAAGGGAACATGGTTTGAGGAAAGTTTCTGGATATTGTTAAGGAATTTTATGTGCTACAGACTGAAGACCTAGAAATTTCTAAATAAGGTTACTTTCTTTGTGTAGCGTGTAGATGCAATAGTAGTATGTAGTGCTTTTTTATGTTATTTCATTATAAGATTTAAAATGCAGTTTATTGAGACTATATATTTTTTGTCTGGCTCTAGTGTAGAATTGGAAGCTCCTTCAATTTTTAAGTGAAAATAAATTGATGTGTACATGACAGTCAAGTCAGTACTCAGTGCCAAGTTTGTGCAATTCTCTGATGTTATCTGAAGTGAAAATAGATTGATGTGTACATGGACACTGAGTTTGTGCAATTCTTTGACTTGTTATTTTGGTTTTGTGTAGCGGCCTTCTTAAAATTGTGCCTTGCTGGTCAGTCGCCAATTTTTGCCAAGGGGCATCCTTAAATATATTTACCAATTATACTAATTCAACACCCAGAAATATTAGAAATTGAGAAGTATAAAAATAAATAAATTTTTAATTAATTAATTATTTATTTTCAAGCTTTCAAAAAGTCTTTTACTAAATCTAAATCACATCTTGTATTTTATGAAATGGTTAATGATGTGAAAAAAAAAATGCTATTCTCTGTATATTCTCATTTACAATTACTTCTGTACTAATTCTTAAAATTAGATGATGAAAAAATTGCATCTTGGAAGGGAAAAAAAATGGTATTTAAGTATTATCCTGTTGACCATGAAACTGTCACCAAGCAGTACAATTTAGTGTCAGTTCTGGATAAGAATGAGAATACTGCATGCGCATAACATCTGGGTTTTTGCCTGATGTAAGTCTGACCAATTATCAGTAAGCTGCTTTTTGTTTTTATGAACTATGATGTAAATTAAATATTATTGTTATATTTTTCCCTTGCATTTTGAAGAAAATAAGTTTAAAAGCTATAGAATCACATTTGCAACTGCATTCTGGTTCATTTACAACTGTTTGAGAGAATTTAACAGCTGTTGAATGGAGAGAAGAAGAGCTGGATATGACTGGCAGAACAGCTGTAGATTGGAACAATTACCTGCAGGAAGTTTATACTAATAGCATTCTAAACAGAGTATCTTGTAAAATAGGAGGGCTTAAGAAAATAGTAGAAATTCATAAAAGCCTTTTTACAAAGTGCAAAAATGAAGCATTTCAAATACTCAAATACTTCTGAAGTAGTGGGTATTTGATAAATTGTGTAGAGACTGATAAATGTTTTATTTTAAGAGCTGTAGATAGAACTGCAGCTTAGAATTCAACAGGAATGACAGATGCAGATCTGACCGGATCTGTGCAAACTTGTATAATTCAATGGTAATCGTATTTCATGGTCAATGAGATAATACACTCATGTCCATAAATTAAGGATAATGCAAAATCAGGCAAAGGAAAAGTTAGAAAAAAAAAAAAAAAAAAAAAAAAAAATTGATTTATTTGTAAAGCTTATTTATTAAACAAAAGGTAAAGAGCCAAAAAAGATGCTGTATGTTTGATATTATTAAAAAAATTAGCAGTTTTTTCTTGCTGGAGCAAATTAAAAAAAAAAGCCTATTTACAAAAAACCAATATTACATGGTTGGTATGATTGTTAATACATTGTAGGTCTCCCAGACGATGCAATACAGTCCATGCAATGGCTAGGCATGCTGAGTATCAAATTATCAATCTGATCTTGGGGGATATTACACCACTCAAAAAGTAATGCTCTCCAAAGTTCTGGTAGTCCCCCTTGCCCCACCCTAGCTACGCCACTGATCTGAACCCCTATCAAAAGGTTGGTAACTCATTGCTTACTTTGGACATATCTGACTTTCCAGAGAAAGAGGATTCTTTTAGAGCAGAGTATACCTTGGCAAGATTCACTTTCACCAAGCTAATGTGCCAAAGGCAAAGGGCATTTCCAAAATGGTGATGCACTAAGAATTTAATAAAAGAGCAATCAATCAATAAAATTAAATAAAATAAGAAATATGGGTGATAAAACACTTACTTTTTTTTTTTTTTTTTTTTTTTTTTTTGAGAAATTCTTTTGCAATATTTTTGCTCTGTTTATCTCTCCATATGCATTAGGACTGTTTTCAGTTAAAAAAAAAAAAAAAAAAAAAAAAAAAAGAGAGAGAGAGAGAGAGAGAGAATTGCACAAATTTGGCACTAATAGCATTCTAAACAGAGTGTGACCAAGTATCATTCTAACAGGTATCTGTACACCAGTAACATGTGCAACATAAATACTCTTTGGTAACAGTTTGGTTTGCCACATAACTATTTGGTGACATACTACATTGTTTTATGAATGCTATTTCTCAAATTTTTGGTGGGGCTATGGATAACCAGAGAGTATCTAACTATTATCTTTTATATGGAAAGAACTAGATATAATTTATATTGGTTTGATATGATTTTGATAATGTTCTTTTCCAAAACTCTAATTTTGTATTTTTAAAAATTTTAGGAGCAATATGAGTGAGCAAATCAAGTTTATCATACAGGAACTAAACAAGGAGCCTTTCAACAAAAAATTTAATTTAATTAGTTTTGATTCTTTGCGGACTGATATCCTACTACAGATTTTAAATGATGTTTTCTCTGAAGTGGATTCTAAGGTTTGGATATGAAATTTTTCCCTATATTTCTTAGTTGTTCATTTCCTTTGTATGTATTGTGAAGTTAAATTTCTTGCTAGAGACATATTTAAGATATTTATGAATTGCACATTTTGTATTTGCACATGTGCAATAAAACATGCAATTAGTATTCTCTTGAAACAAAGCATGTAATTGCCATTCAATTTTTAATTGTTAGTCCAAAGGAGGCATTTTGCTCTGAAGGATTATTAATTTTGTTTTGGCATTTTGAGTTGAAACCTATAAACAGCGAATCACTTTTCAAATTGTTGCCATTAAATATTATCTCCCTGTATTATATTTAAAGGAATTATATAATGAAGAATCTGCATGAATGTATGTATGTTTCTTGCATTGTGATAAAAAACAATGGTACCTAGAGCCATCAAAATTTGAATAACATAATCTTCCATAGAATATGAGCATGTAGAAGCTCTAATTTGAATTTGAAATTTGTTTTATTATGGATTTTATATTTTGCAACACTTCAACCGATATTTTATTAAGAAACTAAATGATTTCAAAGTGAGCAATGGCAACAATGTAAAAAAAAAAAAAGTTTTTTATCTCCAGCACACAAGACTGTGTATCAGAAATTTTAGAGATGCACACTTTTTAAAATCATTTTGCGATATGTTGAACTGAATTTTATGTTGAACTGAATGAATGGTTTGAGTATGTAGAACATGATATTTAATAAATAAAGATAATACACAAAACATTAAAAAATTGCCCCTTTGGACATAATTTAAAATCTGAAACCTTTCAGATTTTATTTAATTTTTTTATTAGTTAATATCTTAGCTGATATAACAACAATCCTCTGCATTTTAAAATGTAGTAGGAAGTTATGAAATATAATTTCAAAGTTCATTTTGTGTTCATAATTTTTTCTTTTTTCCTTTTTCTTTTGGATACATATAGATTAATGCATTCTTCAGTGTTAGCACTGTCAACTTGCAGTTTTGTATTAATGTCTGCATAATGCAAAAGATTTTCTTTGGGAATCTTTTGTAATTATTATTATTTATTATTTATTCATTTATTTATTATTTTGTGTGTGTATGCATTAAAATTCTTTATAATTTTTATATTTTTATATCTTTCAGTTAAGAAGAGAAGGAGTCTAAATTTTTAATTTGCTATTAATTGGAAAGATTTTATACATTGTTTTCTATAGCATGTAATCACATCACTAGCAGAACTGGCCATAATATGTGAAATCTGATAAGTTCATCAGGCAATCAGATGCTTGCACTATAAAGCAGTTTGAGTGTCAGAATCTATCACATAGGAGCTTTTTTACTACATCAGTATGGTATTTGACTACAACGCAGCACAGCCAGAATCGAACTCAAGGTCATTTATCATCTTCAAGTGCATACAAAATTCATGCAATACTTCATTTTTCATTAGTGCTATCAGATGGTGACATGAGCAAGCAAATACATATGGAACAGCTTCAAGTGAGCATACCGCATCAGGATCGCTAAAATGTGACCTTGTTTATTGTAAGATCATGCATTGCCAAATTCTGACTCGTATTGTAACACATAGTAGTTTTATTTTGTGTAAATATATTTACCGTTTGAAATGGATATATTTTTGCACTGACACTGGTCATTCTAATCAAAGCATAAAAAATGATAAAGATAAATTCTGTGTCTGTGAATTATTACTGTGACAATGTTGTAGCAGATTGTGGCTAATGAATAGCAGAAAAGACCAGAACTGGATTAATCATTAAGCAAGTGCTTAGGTATCAAGGAAAAGATGCACTATAAAAGGTGGCTTGTACTCGGAATAGGGGCACCACAAAAAGGTACTTGGTAGCCAGAGAAATGGGCACCAAAAAAAATTCTCATCAAGAGTTTTATTATGGAATGTGTGGTGCCAGCTAAACCAAAGACAGAGAACTGAGGGAAAAATAGGCATAATACTGTAAATATATGTCAGGGTACCCAAATTTTTTAAGTGTTTAGGACCTTTAAAATTCTTAATCCAGCCTTGGAAAGGACTTAAAGTGTGAAAAGTGTTTTTGAAAGCACATATTTCAGCTAAAACTGTCTGTGATGTATATAGCAAATTGTAACTCATGGGGTGTGCATGCATCAATGACATAGTTCTAATCTAACTGAACAACAGTACAAAATGTATAGTTTGTAACATGTATTGAGAAAAACAAAATTTATCTAATAAATTAATTAAATGGTGATTAATTGATAGTTAAATTCTATTGGTATGGCATGTAAGACACTAAACAATTATTTTATATGCAAAAACTCTTGAAAATTGAAAGTATTTTTTTAAGTAATTTTCATACTTCATTTTCAACAGACTTTATTTTGCTGCATTTATTTTTTTACCGTTTCCAGAAAAATGCATATGAATTAAGAGCAAAGAAAAATCTTTAGTACTACTATTCAAATCAATCTTTTATTTTCTGCTGAAACGAAATAAAACTTATATTACTGTAAAAATCATTATATAGTCCTTTAATTTGATCTTATTAAAATCAATTTAAAGTATGACCAGATGATAATGCTTGTTTTTTTCCCCCTGGGGGAGGGGGAAGAGGTAAGTGTATCATAAAAAAATTCCCACATTATAGGAGTATATTTCTTTAAATATGATGCCAAACAGTATCAGCTACTTATTTATATTTAAAAATAATCAAATGAATTAAAAATGTTAAATTCTCATTAATGGTTTTGAAATGATTCTTGCTATTCAAAATTTGGTTTACTAGTTTTAAAATTATATAAATATTTAGTCATAGCTTTTAAAAATATATTTGCAACTCTTAGTTATTACTGAGAAATAATTTTTACTATGAAATATGACCATCTCTGTTGTAGCAGTACATCTTCTAGAAACTGATCTTACTGTTTTGTAATATCTTTTAGTCAAAATTTCATTTCAGATGAAAATGGATGTCAGAGCAGAAGATCCAGAACAAATGGTACTGAAAAGTCTAAATTTTTTAAGAATCTTAAAATATAAGCCTCCTGAAACTATGGAAATGTAAGTTAAAATTTTAACTTAAAATTTATAAATTTAAACACTACATGAAATAACTAAATTAATTGCATTAATTTTTATAGACTTTTTTTGTATGTGCATTTGGTACTTACATATTAGTGCAAACACCTTGGTGCAGTTTGGTGGGTTTTTACAGAAGAAAAAGGTGACTCGGTGAACTTTTGGATTGCAACTTTCAGTGGATATGGTTACATAAAGAACTGTTGTGCTGGCAACTTCTGAAAATTTGGCTATTTCCACTAGGATGATTGTGATAATATATAAGTACCATTTAATTTTGGTTCAGAAAATGAAGCCCTATTCTTGCTACCAACAGTTAGAGGGATAAAAACTTTTAAAACCAGTTTTTTGTTTTTTGTTCATTTGATTAAAAAAGGGAGGTTTTTCTAATTATTCGGACACCCACCAAGAAGTTTCAAACTCATTAACAGCTTTATAGAGCATTACAAATTCACTGACAACTAATTTTCTACCAAGCTAATGCATGAGAGGCAACAGCCATTTTCAAAATAATGGTGCAATAAGAATTCAGTGGAAGAGTAATCAATCAATAAAACGGAAAAAGAAATAAAAAGGAAAAAAAAAAAAAAAAAAAAATGGAACCTCAGTAATAAAACACTTTTCTTTTTTGAGAAATCCTCTTTCCTTGCTCCATTGTTCTCTCCATGTGTATGGGGATCTGTTTTTGTTTAAAAAAACATCAGAGAATTGCTCAATCTCAGTATCATACAACTTCAGCATTGCACACCAAACAAAAAAGACATGCTACATGCATACATGGGATTCCACATAAACATTTTGTGGTGATATTTTGGTTAGCTTCATACTAGTTTGACAACATATTGCTTTACTTCATGAATGCCTTTTCATAATTTTTCGGTAAAGGTGCAGATAATCAAAAAGTATCGAAAAAAAATTTAAATGAATAATTTTTAATTAAGTTTTAATTGCTGAGTTTTCTTTTACCTTCCATAAAAATAATACTTTATGATGTATGACTCTTTATTTTTCTCTTTAAAACTCGATAGATAAAGTGCTTAAATAGAACTGGAAACCAACACTTCATTATTGTTGAACTAATATGTCAGGTATGAACTTTGTGTATCAGTCCAATTACCTTAAATTTGTTTAAAAACATATCATCTAAAAGTATATGTTTCAGACACATTTGGCTGATTTTTGATTTAGCATGACAGTCACTTGCTAAGAGTTATGTATGTCTATCTCATGCACTAACAACCTCCATGAATACCGACTATTTCCTATTATATATTCTGATATTTACTTTCCAGTCCAATACAACAATAATATATTTTTATGCAGAATGTACTACATTCATTAGCAACCAATAAAAATATCTTTAACTGTAAAATTTCACTGGAATGTATAGAAGTATATACTATATTATATAAAAATATGTGTATTTGGTTTTATTTTTCTGTTTTTCAAAAATGATTTTATTTTGTATTCACTTCTTGAGGATAACAAATTAATTTATTTTTTCGTTTTTGTTAGGAGTGAGTTTAGACAAGGTTTGGTAACTGGGGAGAAATCAGTTATTTATCACATTCTGGAATGGATTCTTCGACGCATGCCAGAATTAAAAAAACGTGCTTATTTGGCTCAATTTCTTATGAAAGTAGAACTTCCTCCTGATATAGAAGGTGATGCTGATATTCGTGAATTATATGATCAGGTACAATGAAATGTGCAATTAATTATAAGAGGTTGTAATTTTTATACAACTTCCTTTATATGAATATGTTTGGAACTTTCTGATAATCTGCTTCTCTAGGAAAAGCCGCCAACTTATGAATAACTTTATGAATAAGTGAAAAACACTTGTTTCTCTAACTTTACAGCTCATAGGTACTATTTTGTTCTTAAAGAATTATAAAAAATTTTTTTTATGAAGAATAGGAAATTATACAGGTAGCTCTCCTACAACATGGCATCCTGTAGCACAGTTTCACTGTAACACAATTCATAAATTGCGATAAGCCTCCTACAAGACGGTTTTCTTATAACACAACTTCTCTCTAACACGATAAGAAAATTGTCCAAGAAATCTGAAGAAATTTAAAGAACTCAGCACGAAGATTTTCCAATATTTGAGCAAAGCACCCATATAGTCATTTAACACATAAGAATCCTCGTTTCGTAAGTTCTGCCAATTGTTTCCCAAGATCCGGTACTCGTAAGAACAAATGTTCTCAGGGAGACGAGCTACAAAGTGGAGAGCGACCGTTGAATTCTTAACCGGTAACAGAGGAAAATCATTTCCTTCCATGACCTTTAAAGCACAATTGCACAACAGAAACAATACCCAGTCTCAAGAGAGCACAATCACCAGATAAAAACGAAGAAACCTCACTATTGCAGAAAGTGAACATGAACAATAAGGTCACAATAAGTGCTCTAAAACATACACCCATATAGTCATTTAACACATAAGAATGAGAAGGGCTATATTTTCTGCATTCAAAAATACAGCCCTTCTTATACATATTAGTGCAAACACCTTGGTGCAGTTTGGTGTTATATTCAAATATTTTCTGCATTTACCTCCATTCAAAATTCGAATCCTCATTTCCGTGGCCTGAAAGCAAAAGTGTCTGATGTTGCTGGTCAGCAGTCTGCGTCTAGCCAGGATGTGTTAAAGAATAACTTTGTCACCTTTAAGACATTAAGTTTCAGTCCCAAAACATGTCTGATAAAGATAAAAAACAATGTTTAAGAGGAAATTCATTTCTTTAGAAGTAAAGGTACAAATTTTGGACCGTCATTTAAAAGGAGAAAAGGCATCTCACATTTGAAAATGTTTTAATTTGAATGAAGCAACAGTCCGGACTATTACGAAAAAGAAATAAGAAATGCAGTTGCTGCAGGATCTTTGACATTGCAAAACGTGCAGTTCGCCGCCCCCCCCCGGCACCAATAATTGAGAAGATGGAAAAGGCACTCAGCATTTGGATTGATGTCAAAAAAAGAATTCCGTTGGATGTTGATATCATTAAACAAAAAGCACTCAACATTTTTAAGTATCTTAAAGAACATGGAGAATCCTCTGGTTATCCAGAATTTCAGGCAAATAAAGGTTGGTTCGAAAATTTCAAAAAGGCGTCTTGCATAAGAATTCAAGGAGAATATGCATCAGCTGAATATGAAGCTGCTAGGATACTGATTATGAAGCTAAAGCTTGGCTTTTAAATTGTTTTGTACCAGACGCTGAACGTTATTTAAGGCCGAATAATTTTATAACCTCATATCTTTAACATGTTATCAATTTTTAATCATCATATCTTTAATAACATCATATCTTTGTCGCTGAAAGAACTGAAACCATCAACGCTAAATATGTGTTGGAAGAAAATATAGCCCTCTTCATTTAACCCAGCAACGTCTGTGAAATGTCAGAAAATGAAATTAGTGGCATACTAGAACTTGCTAAATCAAAAAAGAGGTGAATTTTCTGTGTATATGGCTGTTGAGGACGTTTAAGATTTATTAACGGAAGAAGAAATCGACGAAGCAGATTTAATCGAAAGGGCATCTGAAACCATAAATCAAATCGATTCTGAGGACACTAGCACTGATGAAAATAGTGCAGTTAATAATTTAACATTAAAATAATTAAAAGAAAGCTAAGCTAAGCTGAAAATCTTGAATCATTTTTCTTAAGTACAGACCCTTCCACTGAAAAAAGCCGAAAATTCAAAAGGGAGCTGCAAACTGTATAGCTCCATATCGAGAAATTTACATTGACCCGGTAAGAACTAGTAAGCAAATACAATTACAGATTTTCTTTTTAAAGACAGAAGAAAATGCCATAACTTTAAATAAAGGAAGAAATTCTGAAAATGAAAGCGATCTCATGCCACCGAAAAAACGTTCTCGGTTGATTATACTGAGCAGTTACAACAAAGAAATCTATTAAACTACAGTTGGATTAAATTAAAATATCTTATATTTCTTGCTTTGTGTTGTACATACATATATATGTTTAATAAAAATTAAGTCGTTCATGTAAATTTTTTTAAAATTGTTTTTAATAAGTTTTCGGAACATAACCCTCCCCTTTTTATACTAGCTCTGGGTCTCATACAACACGGCAATTTCTAGGAACCTATCTACCGTATTATACGAGGGTTGCATGTATAAGGAAAAACAAAAATTCTGTATGGCTGACATTTACATTTTTGCAACTGTTGCAGAGTGTTTAAATGGTACATCTTAAGTTATGAATAAATGCATAATTTTGAAACATCATTATGCTGAAGCTAATCATATATATAATAATATCATTTTAATAATTAGTTTTTAGTAAACTCTCACTTAGTAAAATGTTCTGTTTTAGTATGAAAATGTAATTGAAGAATTCAAAGAAGTGCATAAACAATATGAAGCTTTAAAATCAAGTGGATTTTCTACTCAAGAAATTCGCAAGGATTTAGAGCACATGGAAGAAGAAAGAGATCAATTGATAAAGAAAATTGAAAGACTTAAAATGAAGGTAGTTACACAAAACTACACAAATAGTAGTTATATAAATATTAATTAGTTGTACAAATAATTAGTAGTTATACAAATATCACTTCAGTAATTTAATCAAGTAATTCAGTAATTTAATGAAGTTATGTAATTTCATTAAATTACTGAATTATGTGAATAGATTAATTATGTAACATATCAACATTATTTTGCTTATAACTAATATGTTTTATTGTAAATAAAGTTAATATGGTTGATTGTGAATGATTTAGTTTGAATTATAGTAGAAATTTATACAATTTGCTTTGTCCTCTTTTTTTCTTTCTTCTCTCTCGCTGTCTCTGTATAAAATACTTTTTCAGAATTTAAATGTGGAACTAGGAAGTTAAAAAAATGATGATATTTATCTGGCTAATCAAAATGAAATCAGGCAAGACCAACCAAATTTAATTTGAATTATTTAACAATTATAGGTATCAGTCATGTAGGTTCTAGAACTTGAGATTTATTCCATTTTATCACTTCATAACTGTGTGATTTTCTTAATATTTGGAATCAAGTAGTATAATTGTTTTTACTACATGAATTTTATGTTTTCGCAAAATAGAAATTGTTGTCATTTCACCTGCAAGCAATTCAATGAGAAAGTTTTGATGCATTAAATAATAAGTGCAAAAGTTTCAACATGATGTTAATTTGTGATGGAATAATCCACTGCTGCTAGGCACTGCTTTTTTAACAGCTTATTTTAAATATATTATTCTGTGTTTTGTACCTTGAACTTCTTTGGATTAATTCTTGAATTAAGGGTCCCTTAAAAATGTTTAACTTAAAGATGCATCATATGTTAAACTGGAATGCACAAATAAAGACCAGATTGCAGTTTTTTAATTATTTTTCTCCATTTATCAATTCTGTTTTCTTTCATTTTGCCTACATATTTTTTTAATATGTAGGAAAGCTGTGTATTGTTCTTAGTGCAAGTTTGTTTCACTCATCGAGTATTTATAATTCAAACAAAGCAGAATTAAGAATATTAAAATATTTTATTTGTGATTCATTATTCTTGTCACCTGCATAATGTTATTCATCATTTGTTATGATTACTTCTGTAGTTCCATGAGTATATTTAAAAAATTTATATCTTTGGCTTTTTTGGAAAAGTTATATCAACTCTGTATTTTCTAAGCAAAGCTGTAGTTTTATTCTTCATACAATATAATAATCATAATATGACTCTTTGACTGTTTTGGAAAAATTATATCAACCATGTATTTTCAAAACAAAGCTATTTTTTATTCTTTGTACAATGTATTAACCATAATACCCAATCTGGTACTTTTCCGTTTCGCCGGCGCAAATCTCGCCAAGCAAACTTTATTGGCGACAACATACAGTATACACATAAAAAATTTTAACAAATGTTAGTTCTAAGGTTTTTTTATTTTGAAGGCATAAACATTTTAATATTGTTTCAAATTTTGTAAAAAGTCAATAAATAAAGACAATAAATTTTAAAAAGGCATTAATTTAAGAATTTACTATGCTTTCATGGTTTGCCAATTCATATCACGTGGTCCCAAGTGATCTCATTTCACACAAACTACGCTACAAAAATATAATTCTCTCAGTAATTATCTACATTAATTTCAAGTTAAATCTTGATTTGGAATGCATGAATTATTTCAATTCGTACGAATAGCTTACTCAGAAATTATGTAAAACTACAGTGCTTTACTTCATTACTGCATTCTCAATTAGAATTGATGAATTTAACCCTTGACTTTGCCTTTTCTATATTTTCGCCTTCGGGCGAATGGTGTGATTGCATCCTAATTGACTTAATTACCGAAAATGGCCTTAGAGCACAAAATTGAACTATCTGGTAAAAATTCTATCTAATTGTATGCAGTATTGAAAAAAACAGTCAATCTGATAAGAAATGGCTGCGATTTGTTATGAAAATGAGGTGTAAAGGTTACCAGCGAGGATATTCCGTTTTGCCAAAGAAAGTCTATGTATATTTTTTGGTTTAGCATCAGTTGTACCATTATTGGCGACTTTATCGCCTGCCCCGGCAAAACGGAAAAGTACCCAAAATCTTAGCAATATTGGATGTATATTAACAAAAACATATTCTTTTCATGTTACAATTTTATTATTATAAAAAGAAATTGGTGTCATTTTGCATAAATTTTCAAAATGTTGCATAATTAGTTCTTATAGAAATTTATTCTTTAAAATCATCTGCGCGTAAAATTATTTCAAATGTTCATTATGACTATTTAAAATTGGTTTATATTGTTACAATTTTAGACAGAAAATCAAACTGAAATTGTTTAAAATGTGTGTTATACAAAAATAAATTATATTATGCAGAGAGTACTTATTATTCCCAAAGGAAGAGTTTTGGGAGACTTATGTGGTAGTTGTAAATTTTTTTAATCTTACTTTTCATTTTAATTTGTGGAATATAATTCATATTTTTTATTTTAATTTAAAATGTTTTACAAAGCAAGCATAACTTTATAAGTTAGTAAAAAGTTTTGTATATACATTTTTCCTGTTCTGTGTTTGTACTTAGCATTATGTATGAGAAATATAATTTAAATAAATTATTGTCTTTCTTATATACTTCAAAAAGCTAAATTGTGTTAGCTATCTGAAATCTGATTTTTTTTTTTTTTTTTACATGCACTTAATTACCACAAAAGTAATGGTATTTCTCTTTAGGTTGAAAGTCATCCCAATGTTGATGCTATGCTGTCTGTAGCAAAAAGTCTGCGAGAAGAAAGAGATTTAGCTGACAGTTTGAACCGGCAAAAAATGGAGCAACGTAATGCTGTGAGTTATTATTTTAATGTGGCATTTACAATAGAATATACTTTTTTTTTCACTTTCCGTACTGATATGTGATAGATTCATTAAAATTATAAATTTTCAATCTGAGATTCATTCACTTGCTATCTACATCTTTTTAAAATTAATTACAAAATATGAAGCTGATATGTATATGGTAATATATTGAAATACAAGATTTAAATGAGAAAAAGGAGATTTAAATGATATGAGATTATAATATAAGAATATACTGGAATATGAGATTTTAATAAAATCATGAAATTTTATGTATGATGATAGCAATTAATTACACCATTACCTATTTGTATTATTTTTATTTAGATTTCATTTTCCTTTTCTATCTATGTATAACTCACATAATCTTCATTTTTTCAAACCATTGCTGATGTTTAGATGATTATGGTTATCAAGTCTTCAAATGTATTAGTAATAAAATATCTATTAGTTAAACATTATATGTGTATGTGTGCATGTGTGTGCATATATGTACATTATATTTTGTTATAAATATATTACATTATATATATTGTATAATAATTATTATATAATAATTAATTATTATATTGTATATATTTATTATATATATATAGTAAATCAAAATCTCGAAAATTGGAATAAAAAGAAAAATTCTGTATTAAATATTTGAAGGTTAACCCTATTTTCTCTGTAAAACAAATAAGCTGGCAAAACACAAATTAAAGAAAATCATAAAAAAAAACAGGAAATTTGTACAAAAAAATTTTAGTCAGAGTTTAAATAGTATTTTATTTTAAGTAGTAATTTCAATCTCCTTGTTTAAAAACATAAAAATTACTTTTAATTACTTTATTTTGAATATATGTATATTATGTAATATAACTTTTATGAAGCATCTCATTATTGATTTATTTTTTATTTTTATTTATTTATTTATTATTTATTTTATTTATTTATTTATTTATTTTTTTGAGATAAGTAAGATTTTCTAATGTAAAGTTTTATTTCCCGTTTTTCATGTTTTCCATTTTTGCAACAGAATTATCAAAATACTTACAAATAAAATGAATTAAGAAAGAAATTTCATGGTAATTATTCAAGCAATCAACAGTATTAATAAATAACTGAAAAATGTAAGGTCATATATTATACTTGCTTTGGTTTTATGCTCTATAACAACTATTATAAGTTACATAAAGAGGATCAATTTCAGCTCATTTTCTAAACAATTTTTGCATTTGGATTTCACGATTTTAAAATCTAATATTTAATGTTTTACAGCTCACTCATGCTGAGCAAAAAATCCAAAGGCTGAATCAACAGTTAAAAGAATTAAAGTTATCCAGTCTTGGAGCAACTCCTGAAAGTAAGATAATTTCTCTTTAGTCAAATATAAATGTGTATTTCTTGGACAGTCACATATTTATTATTTATTTCAATACAAGAATTTATTGTGAGGGTAATGTGCTAGTAAAATTTTCCTTCCCTCTATCTGTGCTAGTAAACTCATTATTATGTGGTTTTCTTTATTTTTAATATAGTTTTCAAAAGGTTCTTTTTTCATTTTATATGAGTTTCTTTTTTTAAGAAATCATGTTAGGTAATTGTATACTCTGTAATTGTTAATATAAAATGTTGAATTAAGTATTGAACTTCTACATATTTAATATCAACACCTGAAGTAACTGGGTAGTTGACTTCTTGAATTTCTGTCAATAAATAAGTTCAAAAAATGAAAATTGATTTAGATGCTATTTTATTTAGGCATTAATCATGCTGACAGCTGAAAATTAACAGCTGAAAAATTCATTCTATCAAAATATATAGGATTCTAAATTATTTAATTATTTATTTTAAGTTCAGGTGCTTACTTTGATTTTTCATAGATATCTATGATATTTCATATCTGAATTATGTAGCATAAATGTTTTATTTGTAGCATAAACATATAAAGAAATAACTTATCAAGAGGGTTATTTTAGACTATACACACAGACATTACATTAATTTACATTAGTATGCATATTTAACAGCAGCAGCTGTGTAGGAAAGAAATATAAAAATAGGGGAAAAGATACACTATTTTATTGAAAAGTAACAATTTTTAATCTTCGTTGACAGTAAAAGAAAAAAAATGGAGAATATTCAGCTGTATTGATAAATTTTTAACAACTTTCGGTGTTATCCATAGCCACATACAGTTTTGTAAATTAAAAATAAGATATGCTAATTCACTACAAATCACAGAAATCATTGCAAAGTTTACCATCTTTATTAAAACACTTAACTGCATTTTCTCTTACATATTTTTCAATTTATTATAGGATCAAAATAACGTTGACAGTTTCATATAGAATCTTATTCCACTAACTGATATTTTCACAATGCCTGTAAAAAATTTCACAAACTTTTTATCATAGAACCTTTTTTGAAAAATTCTTCTAACATTTTCAGTAGCTTACCATTATGCTCTTTATTCGGACATAGTTTTAGAATATGAAAACATTTTTGTGTTAATGCTGGTAAGTGCCTGTATCATCATAAAAAGGCAAAAGTAAAATTAAATCACCTCTAGTTCTTGATCTTTTGAAATAATGAAACTTTCATTTTATACGTCATTGTTTATTTTCTTTATGAATCTAACTTCATAGCTTTTTTATTTTCCTCTTGAAAAATAAAGGAAGTATCGTAATTGTGAATCATTTTGCATATTCAGATTTCAACAGAATTGCATTTTATGTTCTATTGCTTATTTTCTTTATGATTCTAATCTTATCTTTTTTACTTCCTCGTACAAAATATAGGAATTGTTGTGATCGCGAAAAATTTCATGTTTCAGATTTCAACAGAAATATTCATTTGGTCATTTCCGAATCTATTTTAACTATTTTTGTGTGACATCTGTAAGTAAAGACAGATTAAAGAATTCTTTATTCCAAAATGAATTGTAAAAGGATTCAAAATGGATTTTTCCATGATGTCTGTACATACGTATGTATCTCGCATAACCCAAAAACGATTAGCCATAGAGCGTTGAAATTTTGTATATGGGACAATATAACATCTATTTGTGCATCTCCCTTTCTTATTGCAATTGGCAAGAACAAAAGTATGAATATGTAGTAATGAACTTAGTAAATGTATAATTTTGATTGTGTATAAATGCTAATCCATAATGAATAGGAAAAATGGCATTCGAAACAGATTAAATTACGTTTTTATTCATATTCACTTTTGTGGCCACAATTTACCTGGCACTCTAATCGTGCCTATTTCCCAAACATATATATTTTTAATACTATTGCAATACTTAATTTTATTGCGATTTTAATGCAATTTTTAATACGATTTACATATATATATGTAAAATATAAAAAATAAGATGGCTTTGCTCTACGTGAACAGACAACCTCTAATTAACTTTCTGCAATTTTAGGATCTTTTCCCTAGACCAGTACTTTCGAGAATATCCTGGCATGTTATGTAACTGCTAATAAAAATACAGAATTTACGCCATTTTTCGTCAGACTGCTTCCCACTATTGCTGCTACAAGACTCTGCACTGCTCTGTCCATTACTGTTCCCTTTGTTAGAATAGTTATGACGTCAAAATTTAACCTTATTTTAATTTCAATCATTATTAGATATGTAATTTGGAGAACTTCATCTAAAGTAAAAATAATCTACCATTTAAATTGAATTAAAACAACTAACTTCTCCTTTGTCGTCGTTGGATACCGCCTTACACTCAGCCACAATAATACCAGGACTCTGATGCCAAGCTTCGTCATTCCTGTGCCTGACTGCCTAATTATTGCATATATATTTATATATATATGTAAGATAAAAAATTTACTAATTTAAATTGCTATTTTAACTGGTGATCTAAACTGCTAACTTAAATTATAATTTTATTTACACACCTTTTATTTTATACACACACGCATCTGAAATTAAATTATAAAGCTAATTTACATATTTTTTATTTTACATGTGTGTGTGTAAAATAAAAAGTTTGTAAATAAAATTTTAATTTAAATTAGCAGTAATGCCTTAACTCTTTATTTTAGTTTGGGTACTTTGCCCCTGTATTTCAAAAATTGTAATAGCTTTGTTTGAACTGTGTTATTTCTAAGTTTATCCTATGACTATGTATTTTACATAACAATGATTATGTAGCTAATTCGGAACTCAAAAGCTCAGGAGCTGAAACCTTTCTCTTAATAAACTGCCATATTAGATGACTAGGCACTTTATTTCCACTTCCCTCCCCATCAAGACACTGCCGTGCTGTTTTCTTCTGTGGACTCTACTAATTGAGATAATTTTGTAGAGATAATGACTTGACTTGGAAATAACAATACATTATGATGCATATGAGAGAGTACACCAATTTGTTCTCAGTTATGGCTAAGATAATGGTAGATGTTACTACAGATAGCTTTTTTTGATAGGTTTACACATAGGATTGTGCAATATGCGGATGGAATTTGGATACCAAAAGTAGCTGGATATTCTCACATAATTTTATTTCTTGATGAAAAATTTCTTTTTACTAATCACTTTGGGTGCAATATGTATCTCACAATTTTATATACAACTTATTACATTTTGAGACAGTAGATACAGCGGAGCAATGAGGCACTTGCTAGCAGGGCAAGAGGTAGCAAGGTACAAAGTGACTCTGCCAAGGCCAACTAGATATCTACAGGCCTGCTCTACCGATTTGTGACGTCACAATCGAAGGCGATCGTTCCCACGGTAGACGCAGACGACTGTTTCATTTATGTAGTACACAGCGTTATATTTCAAACTCAAAAGTCAAGTTAAATTAATTTTTACAACTAATATTTCGAATTTTAGGAATAATAACATACTATGTTATATCATAATGATATTTAAATACTAAATACCGTTCTCTCAATTTATCAAACAGAAAATAAAAATAAGATTCGAATGATATTGTAAATTTAGCAGAGCTGATTTAAATAAACTGAAACATATCTGAACTTTTATACGGAAATAAAATGGACACAAAATTATTTATAAAAATTATATGCCATGTTAATATCAATGAAAATATAACATATGTAATGAACTAAACATGAGATGTTTTCATTTTGTAATAAAAAGAAAAAATATGTTAAGGCTCTCAGATGATTTTATTGTTTGGTGTATTTAATTATGGCAAAGCACACGAGGGCTATCTGCCTAAGGGAAGGGATGCCTTCGTGGAGGACTTTCTAAGGGAAACTGGCTCGTATACATGTTACATATGGGGAAAACCACGAAAACGCCCATGCATCCAGCCCGTTCGCGGGATTCGAACCTCGGACCGAACTACTAGTGTTCAGCGACTTTACCGCTCGGCCACAGGTGGGCCCCAGATGATTTTTTATTGCTTAAATTATGAAGACTGATTTATACTGCTTTGAATACTAAACAAACATATATAGTATTTCATAATAAAATTAATATCAATTCATTAATTCTGATATAATAAAATATTGCTTTATAATTGTTTTTCGGTGCAATGATATTGAACCAAAATGAACTCTTTGTTTTCTTTATTCCCATAAAGATTTTTCAAGATTCAATCAGAGATCCTAAGATGCTTTTTTAATAATAAATACACATGTGGACAGTAAGTGAAATACATAAATTTTATTAATACATTAATATATTAAAAGTATATCTGAAGTTTAGTCTACATATTGAAAAAAAGATTCATTCTAAAGATGTTTTATAGCAAAAACATTACACAGAATATTCAAAAATATATTTCAAATTCTCTTAAAAAAAGCAAGATCATAACTATGCAATCAATCCCAATGAGCATCATATCATGCTCTAAAAAATTCTTATGAAAGAAAATCTGATTAAAAATACACTCTTAATACATCTCGTTAAATATACACAATATTAAGCTACGAAAAATCCTGCGAGTCATTATGATAGTATAAGATACTGGTTAGCCAGTTGAAATTATCATTTCACATCTGCAATAAGTTGTCATTTGAATTTTTTAAATATTAATAATGGAACATTATTATTGTAGACTCTGATGTGAGGTCCACAAAAATAAACTTCATAAACTTGAATAAGTTTCTATGACTCATTTCTATGACTTCATAAACTTGAATAAGTTTCTATGACTCATTTCTATGACTTCATAAACTTGAATAAGTTTCTATGACTCATTGATATTACAATATATCATCTATATCATTCTATATACCAACATGGATATAGTTTACAGATGCTTAGTATTCAATTAATTTAGACATTTTTTCTTTTAAAAATATTTAAACTCTTTGTACACCACATACTACTACATTAATTTGTATTGCTTAAATTAATTAGATT